AGAGACACTTCGAACCTGGAAAGAACCTGGAAATCCAGGTTGTATCTTCAGCTCTGCTAAAGTGGCAGCCTCTTGGTTCCCACTAGCAGACCCTAACGGAGGTCCGAGAGTATCGAAGGCGTTGCGTTCAGAAGCTGCTTCTACGTTTTAACGTTATAGGTATATTCGGCTTCGTTTCTTCGGTCCTTTTCGGCCCGAACACACATCGAAAGATTAGCACCACTTTTGCACATCAACCCTTGCATTACTCCAGTACTACAAGCGCTCTCAAAGTCTGTGCAAAGTCTTCATTATTCCGAACTAGCTTCCTGTTGGACTGCTATAAAGAAAGTGCGGGATCTGTGATCATGGAAGTTTCAGCTGCCATCGGAATGGCTTTTTATCATCCTTTTCTAAATTACGGTTCAAGATATCGTTTCGAAGTCGAGCATCGTTTTATCGTAGTGCAATAGATCGAAATATCCTGCCATGTAAATTTCTTATTTGAAGACTCCACTAAACCAAATATGGGTTTAATGGCGCTGTCTTACAACTGGTCTTTCTTAACTTCATCGCCACTCCATGGATCTCGATCTGGCGATGTTGAAGTTGTAACTTGACCTGTGACTGGATTAACCATCCCGTATTTTGCTTCTATCCTGAAATAATATTGGCAGGTTTCTGGGCACGGACCTTTAGACAGGATGTCGGTGTTTCTGTGTGATGATCCTTCTCGATAAGGGATAGTGATGTCAGATTCCTGAAGACTTTGTATCAATCTGGCTATCTGGCCTTCAGGATTCTTGAAATTTAATAGAAAATTCAACGATTCATGTTCTGTGCAGAGCAGAAATTTTTTACGGCTTTAACTACGGACAATAACGCTTTTCTGGTGACTCAGTAATTCGTCTCTGGACATGGGTGTCAAAATATATCGTCTGTCAAAGCTGAGGATACGTCAAGATTGAAGCAGACGTTAAAACCTCCTTCAGTTTTTTAAATGTATCATCACATTCTTTCGTCCAGGAAACAGGCCCATTGGCGACCGAGCGGTAAAGTCGTTAAACACTGGTAGTTCGGTCTGAGGTTCGAATTCCGCGAAAGGGCTGGCTGTATGTGCGTTTTCGCGGTTTTCCCATGTTTAACGTGTATACGAGCCGGTTTCCCTTAGGAAGTTTTCACGAAGACATCTTCCCTTAGGCAGATAGCCCTCGAGTGCTTTGCCATAATCAAATATACCATGTACCATTGTCCATAAGAATCTTTGATTGCTCTCTGTCAGTCTGTGAAGGATTTTTGCGATGGAAGAAAAGTTCTTCGCAAAAGTCCTATATTACTAGAAAACTTCTAACCTGATGAACATTTTCGAGACATCTCCAGTTTTTAACTCCCGACACTTTTTATAGATCCCTACACAGACCTTCGGCAAGGATGACGTGTCCGAGGTAAGTCACTTCTTGCCTGAATAATTTACATTTGGCAAGGATGACGTGTCCGAGGTAAGTCACTTCTTGCCTGAATAATTTACATTTGGCAAGACTTCACACTGGCTTCCTTCAATTTCTCAAGCACTAATTTAAAAGATTTTTTAAATGCCCTTCATAACTTTCTCAACGATAATATCATCCAGGTGTATCAGACAGGCTTCGTAGGAAAGACCTCTCAGCACGGTCTTTATAAGGCGTTCGAATGCAGGCGCATTACCTAATCAAAACATCATCAGCTTGAACTTCCAAAGTCCTCGTCCGGTAGTAAATGCCGTCTTTTCTCGGTCATCAAGGTGTATATCTGCCTGCCAATATTCACTCTTTAAATCAAACGTCGAAAACCACTTGCTTCTAGAAAGTGATCAATTCTAGGAAAATGGTAGCTTTCTTTGTGACCTTGTTCAAGCTACGATAGTCAGTACAAAATCTAATTGAACCATCTTTTTTTCGGAGAAGGAAGTTAGGAGAGGCCCAAGGAACTTTTTGAAGGCTCGATAATATAATTTTCTTGCAAGCAATTCTATGCTGCGTCAAACTAGTTCGTTAGAAGATGAACGGGAGGAAACATCTTAAAATTGTTGAATGATACGTTTGGCAGCACTTCCCTCTTCATCTTAGATGTTCAATCTGGGATAATTCCGATATTAGGCTGCCCGAAGACACCGACTCTGGAGGAAAATTGGTTCGTTTAACGCAGGTAACTGGAGTACATGCTACAAACTCTTCGCCTTGCCTAACGACTTTCGCCTCATTAATTACATTGGCAACTGTCGCCGGGATAATCGTCCTCGATAGGTCGACGCGTGCCGAGGCTTTCAGTACTCCTTTGGTGTTATTACAATTGTTAAGATACTCACTATGCCGTAACGGAAACTTCTGTTTCCAGCTAAGGACCCATGAAGTAAAAATTCCGTTCTTGCTGGTATCATGATATCGTCTTGAGCTGGTTGACAAATTTGACTCCTTTAATTCCGAAAACGTGTTAAGTCCTCAGGGTCAGAATGCAGTTTATTGTTTGTTTTCAGAGTCCAAAGATAATTTGTATTTTCTTAAAAGTCTAATCAGAGTATGCAAATGTCTGTAATATCCGCCACATAAGCCGTATGATGATAGGCGAATCTTCCATACGTGTTGTTAACATTTGACTTCCCATCGATGTCGACTTCATCATCGAACTTAGTCTGGAGGGTAACAAAGGACAGCGTCGAGATGAGGTTTCCTTCCAGTTGTTGAGCCAAATCTTTTCAGATGCTGGTCACATTGGCTCCTGTATTGCCGGTCACATTGCACGGAACCCCGTTGATATGTCCCATGATGAAAGGTTCATTACAGTCGCCATTCATTGCAGAAATCTAAAGCGATTTAAAATGGGATTCCTCAACATCTGGCATCTTCCGCTCTGCGAGAGGGCTATTAATTTGTTTCTTGCCTCCTTGCTAGGCAGCGGTCTTAATTTCCGTCCATTAGGGTTACTTTCAGTTCTTTCGTATGTAGCTTTCATCACCGCAGTTACAGAACTTTATGGTTGGTTTGTTGGAACTACTAATCCACATCGCGGCACTGACTTGCCTAGTTAAATAATCTAGACGAGCGGTCACTTGATCCACTGGGTTCTTGGACTTGAGCAGCTCTGATTGATTGCCGATCTCTACGAGATGCTTGCTGGGCTGCCTCGAATTTTATGGCGTGCACTAGAGAGCTTTTTTAATTCTTGACACCCGCAATTCGCAGGGCTTTTGTGTATCAGGATCCCGGATTCCATGGCGAAAGTACTGCAGGGATAGGATTTCGCTTGTTTCTATTGGGCAGTCCGAAAAGTCGAGATGAGACAGCCTTCCAGCGTCTGTGGCAAGCTCCTGAAGTATTTCTGTGAGTTTCTGTTAGCGAGATTTTAACTGAAGCTTGCTATAGCGTTTTAAAACTTCTCGCCAAAAAAACAGCTTCAACGTATCCGGATAGAGTTTCGAAGTCTAGTCTGGTTTTCATCAGACTTTGAATGACATCCGCTGCGTGTGCTCTCAAAGAAGAAGTGAGGTGGCAGGCCTCAGCTTGGGAATCCCATCCATTTGCGCCCGCCACTATAGAAAACTGAGTTATACACGTTCCAGGAGGCATTTCTGTTATATATGAATAGCTTTAGAGAGGGACGCGAAGGCATCGTTGGGAATTTAAAGCCGTCAAAATTGAGTTCAGCTGTCGCAATGGATTTTTTAAGCTGTCAACTTCCATCATTACAGTAGCAGAAATTCTGTCATCAGTATGTTGTTCGAACGTAAAAACTCTTTCTTTGATTTATTCTTGGACAGCAGAAACTCTTTCTTCGATTTGGTGTTCGACAGTGAAAACTCTTTCTTGAATTTCTCCAACTTCATCTTCAACGGTACCTATTCTTTCTTCCAGCCTTGAATTTCTTTCCTGTTTCGGCAGCAAATCCTCATTTTATTTCCTCTTGACCTACTTCAATGTTTTATTGACCAGTCTTCTTATTTCTTCACCCTCTTTCATCTCCTTTTGGCACGCATTCATAATTTCTTGAACTGTTTTTCTCTCTTGCCTAAACGAGTTTGATCTCCCCTTCCATCTTTTCTTGGAATGCAGCGAAGGTTGTCACTTGCTGTCTTACTTGCTCATTAGTCTCTATTGTCACCGCATTCAGTCTTATTTCTGACACCAAAAATTAGTGCGTGCTTGTGGGTAATGGATTTAATGCACACAGAACCGATAATAGTTTGATAAAATTTACTTTCCTCGAAAGAAATATTTTACAATTCTGGAACTTCCCAAAAAAGTGCTTGTACAGCTCTTCTCAGTATAACAGAGCACAAAGCGCAATCAGTAGTTACACTTCAAACTAATAAAAACGTTAAACACAATGCTATGCATTGCGCATATAAAAGGCGAAGCTCGCACGGAGATCTCAATACTCCGAAACCTGCTGTAAACTATAATAAATTGAGAACTGATGAACTGATAAATAAACTGAGAACTGATGCTCTCTTCGGATTTATATAGTTTTACCCAGCCGCCGAGAAATCTCTTGCATTTTCTATTTCTTGAAATTACTGGAAGGTATACTATATGATTAAAATTACATATAAACCGCCGGATACTGTTTTACATATAGGGATTAATTATATTTATTCAATTACAGCACCAAGTACAGTTATACCGGGACAGGACAATAATGTCAACAAATATTCACTAAGTTTGGCTACATTAATTGAGTCGCTAAAACCGGTGCCAGCTTGCGATATTTCCCCAGTTTAGCGATATAGCCATTTACCTCAGTATTATATAGAATTGCCCTTATACATTTTTTTTTTCTTTTTGCAAAGGTTTGTGTTTTCAAGCATTAGTTACATTACACAAAAAATACTACAATTTCAGTAAATTTATTTACATATTTACAAAATTTGTAACATATTATTTAGCCTTACTTCTGTGTTATGATTTCAGTCGTAATATAGATCTAGCTATGTTAAAATTCTGAAATAAATAACATTCTGGACTGTCTAATTTTTATTTACAGCAACTATGTTTCATTTTTATAGGAATGGAGATACTAATCTGAAACCGTTTTTATTGCGCAGAAAGTCTTGGAAAAATCCAAACACCAATCACAAAATAAATGATGAGGGTGTTTTAAATGTACAGCATAGACTTGAAATCAATTCAGAAAATCCTTGTATCGGTAAGGAAAATCCGAAAGAAAGGCATAAAATCTATGCTTGGACGCCACCCGGAGTTTCAGCAGAAAAAGTAAGTGAAATTTTAGCGTATTTTGTACTTTTTCGGAAAATATAATATTTTAACATAATACACTGTAAAAAGTGCACTTTAATCAACAGAGATTAGGAGCTGTATGTGTGACATGTGAAAAATAGTTTCTGCTTTCTTAATTAGAGTCTAGTTTGTAAAACTAGTAAAGGAAATTTTAAAGCTGGAATAAATTTCTTTGCCACTGTTCAAAAAAAATATGGTTTGAAGAATCTTAACAATGATTCGAATTTCGAATCCTGATAAACTGTATGTGTACAGATATTTAATTTTTAGAGTAAGAAACGTGACAAAACTCAGCCATGCTCTCGCTGGTTTCAGATTACGGAGCTTCTGATTGCGAGCCCGATGTACTACTAGTTAAAGCTCGAGAGATTTTAGTGGGGAAGGCAAAAATTCCTAATATTCTCCCCCATTTAAAGGGTGACTGGGGAAAGGAGAGAGGAACCCAGTTGGCCAAATATACGCTGTGACGAATTATGGCCCACCACATTTTTGTCGGACGGCACTGTAGAGAATTTAGAATTATTTAGAAGCCAAGAAACCAGAATTATCAGCTAGGTCGGGATTTGAACCGTAGATGTTCCAATTGCTCGTCGGATGAGCTGCTAATACGTCTCTATTGGTATATATATGGAGGCAATAATTCTTTATTTACGAAGAAAGTATGGCTGCATGCGTAATTTATAACGTACTCGTATGTATACTCGTAATTCTTAGATCAAGAAAAGAGAAGAAAGAGAATCGTAGACTGCAATTTTTATCATTAAAAATCAGAATTACTTTAAATAGTCTCATATCCCTTTGAACCTGCTTTAACAATCCCAAAATTCAGCATTTTTGACCAATTTTTCTTAAAATGCTCTTCCTTGACTCAGATAGCCTTCTGTCCTTTCCCATATTCCAAATAACCCAACACTCAGAGCATCCAGAAAGATTTTAAGTAATCTTAATGGTTATAATTTTAATTGAATACTAATTTATTACTCGGTTCTAATATTCATAAATTTTAAATAATGTTAGAATCCTCGTACGTTACAGTTAGCTTTGGTATTTGCCATAACATTGCTTTGTCTTATGGAAAACCACCAGAACAAGAGGAATAACATTTAGAAAGATTGTCGGTGATCACCCAAGGAAAACAGCCCAGAGAATATGAATATCTACAAGTATAGGCCATACGAAATCGAAGCAGACTGCACATAATATTGTAATATAATTGCAGATGGTTACAGAACACACAATATTGCACTAAGATTCTCTGTGGCAAGACTTTTTACCCGTCGAACATGAACTTTGCATCTCTTAAATTTAAACATCAAAGCCACCATTTACGATATCTACCAGTGGCCAAAAGGTTAATGACTGCTGAATGCTGGTAGTTCGTCCTGATCTTGAACCCAGGCAAACGGATTTGTTGCATGGTTGATTTTAGTAGTTTTCTCCGTATATAACGGGAATAAGAATCCATGGAAGCCCCTTTGGGCAAAACCCCATGAGTGACCAAGGGTTGTTAAGACTGCTGAATACTGGGACTTCACCTTGTGTTCGATCGCAGGTGAAAGGGCCGACTACGTGCTTGGTTTTCGGTTTTCCTCGTGTGTAACTTGAATACGAGTGGGGTTTCCTTAGAAAGTCCTCCACAAACTCATTCCTTCCTTTAATCGGGTAACCCTTTTGTGCTTCGCCATACTCAAATATCGTAATCTAAACTAACCACCGTCAATAATTAGGTAGAACCACCAAGACTGGATAATGCAATTGTACAACTGAAGTATAAGAGTTAGTATGTAACTCTTTCCTAAGGCGCCATTTGGTTGTCACTCTGCTTGTGGACAATGTAATTTAATTAATTAACATGAGTCTTTAAAACACACATTATTTCAAAAATATTCTGATTGGCGAACGAAAAGCTAATAAAGAAAAGATATTCAGAGGTATAAAATAACAACGGAGTCTTGCCCCAACAAGTTACTGGCCACCATGTATTAAGAGTGTAGATAGACACTGTAGAGAGTCTACTAGACATACATAGAGTGTAGGTAGACAAATATTAAGAGTGTAGGTCGACATCTTTGTTGTTAAGAGACATCATATTCCCTACTAAGCACCAGCTTTTTCCTTCGTTCCATCTACAGAACGGATTCATCCTATACAATCGACAGTCATTCTTTCGTAGCCTTGTCTTATTAAGCCTTTGTTCTCCTTTTGTATTCGTTTCTGCATTCATTTTTTACATACATTGTGGTGCATATTCAGATCTCTATTTCTTTTATTTTTTTAACTGTGCTCCACAGCAAAGGTACTTAAAAAAAATGGAGTCCTTAAGTTTAGCGCTTCGATGTATCTTTTCCTTCAAAAAATGTCATAAACACTGTATTCAGGTTAAACGCCAGGAAACATGTATGGTATTGAAAATACTTTATATGATATGCTATTGTTTCTTAATTAACATAAATTGAAGAAGTTCAGTTTTAACAGTTTTAATTTTTGTAAAATATATTGTGTAAATTGTGATGCGTGATCATGCCACTGCCTTTTACGATAACTATAGCTACATTTGTAAACTTAATTTTTTTTTAAAAAACTTTTTATTATTTTAGGTAGATGAATATTTCGCACAACTTCCTAACCACAAAGTTCCTAGGTGGAAGACACCTGGAGAAAAATACAGAGAAGCCCAGCTTCTGCTTCAGCTGCCGAAACAGGATCTCGCTCTAGCATATTGTCGGCACCTAGATCGGCAGCATTACAGATCTTTCGAGGACTTTGTAAATATACGCAATGAAATTGCTCTCGACATTGCTTATGTCAGAGAATGTCTTGACAGACAGAATGTAAGTATATTATACGATAAAACGGCAATATTTAATCAATTTTGAGATGAAAACAAAATTGCATATAATAATAAACATATCGTTTTCTTAAAACGTTTCTAAACAAAAGCATAATAGTAAACATATCTAATAAATAATAAACATATCGTTTTCTTAAAACGTTTCTAAACAAAAGCATGTAACAATTATTTGAATTTTCCTAGCATATAAATACAGGTCAAACCAGATTGCTGTCGGTATAAAATAGAATTTTGCATAATACTTGTAGATATGGTATTTCTATAAAATCTCATTCATAATTTTCTGCTTATCGTTTATTAAATGCTGGTAGATAACTTGTACCTAGAAAATGTTGCGAGTAATACGTTCGTTCCCTTTTACAGTAAAGGGTTTGTATTTAGTGTCATTAAGAGCAAACGGACTAAATCAATGAAGATCTATATTTTATTCACTTTGTAAGGATTATGTTAATTTTATTAAGAGTTAAATTTTGATTTAAACTTCTTTCCTATCAATTCTTTAACTTCAACTTACGACTCCCGGCCAGAACGTAGTTACTAGAATCACGCCTGCATACATAATGAGGAGGAACGGTATTTAACTGCGAAGTTCTTCGGTTTGAGGAAGAGAGATACCAGGTTTCTAGATAGTACTCGTTCGCCTTTTTAGGCTACTCTCTCGTAAGCTATTATCACGCTCGGCCGTACTTTAGGCCCTTGATAGCTTCGCCGTCTATTTAACGTTAAGGGGCCAACTCAGTTTGAATCTTGATAGCTCCGGCTATATCTCTTTTTTTTTTAATTAAGATTAGTTTTAGTTTAATTCTTAGTCTCTTAAGTTCAAGCCCACGTTGCGGCTTTATTGTATTACTCCAAGACGGAGTCTGTTAAACTTTATTTGGAATAATAAAGGGATAGTTAACCCTTCTTACTTGTTTCCTGTACACGAACTCAAGCGATTATTTGCTTACTAGTTCTTAGGATTCTTCACTTCCAACAGCAATCTAGATATCCTCAGTAGAGAACCCTACACAACTTTATCTAACTCATTACGTTTAAAATGCGAGATTGGTTTAAAACTTCTCACTTCATTTAGTTTAGAAAAACAGTTACCAGCAGTATAATTTACTCTTATTTCTTTCAAAATAGGTACACAGTTTTGCCAACTATCATTAAGAGAAGAAGGTCACCTAAACACGAGTTTATTTTTAAACTAATTTTTTTATAAAAAGTTTAAAGGTTTATTAAATTATGGTAAGGAACATCGTAATATTGTGCGGGCAGACTACAGGCCATTCTAATTGTTTGAAATCAAATATCCAAAAACGTTGCGTTAAAATATATTTCTTGAGAAAAACGCGTTTACATCTTTCGATTGGAAAAATTAGTACTCAAGGAATGATATTGGACATAACCACTATACGAGCTCAATCTGTATTGCCAGGGACAAATAATATGACTTCCTATTCTGAAAAATTATTCATCTGAGCAGTTAATTCCTGTTTCTGAACTGTCCTTTCGGAGGGCATTACTTTGATGACTCCATGTGATTGTCATGGCTGCAGTTTGGGTTTGTGACATTAAAAATATTTCTTGTGTTAAACGAATTTTATAAGCAATAAATAGTCAAGTCAAAAAATTCGATTCTACATGAGGCCACCACCTTAAGGTAGCACATCTTATGCACGAAGTTGTCGGAAAACACAATTTCTAGAATCTTCCGGCCCCCAGCAGACGAACGGTAAAATCGTTGAATACTGGTAATTCCGACCTGGATTTGATTCCAGGCAAACGGGCTGGCTATATATGCGTTTTTGTAGTTTTCCCCATGCGTAACGTGTATACGAGATAGTTTACCTTGAAACGTCCAATACAAGGGCATCTATCCCCTTAGAAAATATAGCCCTATTGGGCTTTGCATAATCTATCAAACCAACCCAAATCTAGATTCTTCCTGCTAACCCTTGCAGTGTCTGGGGCAATATCATCCTTTTAAAAACAAAAGGTTAGGTATTAGGGATGTAGCTATGTTAAATTAGCTTACTTGAAATTTTCACACCCGACTGCGTGATTGCAAGGGAGGACCATTCTCGTGTAATTTTGGGGATAGGAATATATCCTATGGCGCAACATTCTCATTATGGCGGGTGGGAACATGCACTTTTGCTGCGTTATGTGCGTATGCGCTCGTCATTCCACAAGGACAAAAACTTCGAAATTTTTCGCCGAGAGACTCACATCTCGTCTGTTTGTAGTTGATATTTGACATCTGCTCATGACAGTTTATTTTAAATAGTATTTAGCCTCTTGCGATACGCAATTTTACCTTTTAAATGTCGAATAAAGTTAGTTTTAAGTTTCGTGTTGAAGTTATGACCTACTGACGAGTCTGAGTATAAAACATCAGTATGGCATTCAAACATCGCCATAACTGATGGCCTAAAGTGAAGAGTGAAGTATGCTGCATTTTACGTGCAGCCAGATTGAAGTTTTTTGAGCAATCTGAATAAATTTTGTGATTCACGGCGGTATTACGTCAGTATAAATTATTCTTTTGGGGAGCTACAACTCAGGAATATTTTAGTAAAAGTATTCATTACTTTCTGTGTCGGTGCTGACATTGGATTACTTTTTCTTTAAAATTATTCTGTCTTTGCAGGAAGGATTAAACTATTTTGTAAGATGCTTTCTCTCTAGAAATTAAGACTGAGTTTTTAAAAATAAATTGTTTAGAAAACAATTAATAATCTTAACGAATTTTTGAAAGATTTTTAGAATATCTTTAAAGTGTATTTTTTAAGAAAATTTTTTTTTATCGTGCTTTTTATGGTATTTCACTGGAGTCGGTTTTTCCTTATTAATAACTTGCACAGTATATTTTACATTTTGCTAATATGCGTGCATTTTTCATTCTCATGTGTTATCCCTAATGGGTATGAATGCATTAATAAGCATTCTATCCTTATACATCATGCTTTAGTATTAATATTCATGACAAAATTTTTTTTGCGAATCTTTTTTATTGATAGTATTTATAATACTTATTTGTAGGAAACTGTTCTTGTATTTTGTAAATTTTGATTTTTTCATAAAATTTTTCTTATAAGTGTTTGCGATTAGAGCCATATATCTCCTCTAAATTAAATAGTCATGTCGGGTAATAAAAATTCTACTGAACATTTTCCAACTAAAAATATAGCAACTACGTGAGTATCGCATGTTTAAATAATATTACCGCCTTTGGGGCAAACAAACGTTGCATTAATATTTGTTAGACTGGAATCGCAGTTTTCCCTTTCCTTAAGTTCGGATTTAACGAAATTTAACCCTCTTGTTGCTGCTTTAATTCTGATATACTGAATTCTGTTAGCGATAGCAATTTAAGCCCCCCCCTATTCGGAAATATGACATCCTAAAACAAAGAATGATTGCAATACATTCTGAAAGCGAAGCATCGAAAATTAGTACGCTGTTGCAAGATCTTGGTTTGGCGATCAGCGCTCTTCCCAGTGTTAACACAAATGCACGCTTTAGCAAGCGATATCGTAGGTAAACTCTTATTAAATGGTCTCCGTGGCTTGCAAGGCTCCCTAATAATACACTATCTATTTTAGCTTCTCTCCGTGACGATGATTTGAGCAAACTGGCTTCTGTTGCTTATACGATTACTGAGCTCTCATGCCACTCTTATGTGAATACGGCTATCGTGACCCCTGAGCCCAGTGAATCTGTTACAACTCGTTTGTAGCTTCAGGTAGCACAACTGACTAAGCATGTTAGTGTGTTAGCCTCTAGCTTAGGACGTAATTCTCGCAGTCTAACGCAGAGGACGTGACCAAGACAACTGTCAGCACCCCATTGGATTATTTGTGTTCCTTAAAGCTCAGTTTGGTTTACAAAACGCAGGCCAAAGATTTATCCTTTAAGTACTTTCTGGCTTTTGTGTTCCCTGCTTCGATGATTTACTTGTGGCTTTAGCGGATCAAGATTAGTACGAGAGCTAATTTCGCTTGATTTTTGATAGATTGCTAAAATATGGATTAAAATTGAATCCTTCTAAATGTATACTTGTAGGGTCATCGGCATCATTTCTTGGCTGTTTAATTAACCCTTCTGGTGTTCGGCCGATTCCTTAAAAGCTGCAGTAATTTCTAATTTCCTTAAACCTGTAACAATGTCTGAACTAAAGAGGTTTTCTCCAATGTTAAATTTTTATCTATGATTTTTGCCCAAGGCAGCAACTGCCCAAGATGAACTTCATTCTTTTTTAAAAGATTCGAAGACGAAGGATAAGCGTCTCATTTCTGGACAGCGCAAGCTACTGCGGCCTTCGAAAAAATGGAAAATGTATTTAACATATAATGTTGCGAGGCCCCAACTTGTCAGCAACAGTGGTAGTGACTGCTTTGAACTGTAAATTACACAAACTCGTAAGAAGGGTTTAAATCCCTTTTTATTCCACTTTAGAAATACAGCTGCGTTCACTTGACGCTCACAAACCCCGCCGAACCGGCGGTTTAACAAAAGTACAACTAAAAATAAATGACAGGGTGAATAAATAATGAGATCACTACCTAAGCGGCTCTATAATCGTAACTAACTAAACCGCGTTCTAAGATACAGCTGAGATTCAGCAAACATACTGATTAAGAAGTTGAAAGATTCAACGAACTGCCGAAATAGGCACACAGGCCGAAACGCGCGGTTCTTAAATTTCTACCTAGCAACCTTCACGCTCGCGATTCAAGAAGAACACTTACAATCTCGTTTCCCTTCTATTTAAACTCAATTTACTTCTGCTAAAATTTGAATACTCTGCGCGTTCTACTACAATTTACATACTCTGGAATTGGCAATTCTAGGGGAAAGTAAAGGCTTGACAGGAAAGATAGCTTAAAATAAATGTTAGTTAAAATAAATATAAACCCTACAAACAAATTCAGCGACTCTTGGTTACCATGATTCTAGCTAGCAGTTGCCATTAATGGTCGATGCCTTAGA